TGCGAACGACACCTACATGTGTTCGATCCTGGATCCTGGTCAAGCCAAATCTTTTGCGAACGACACCTACATAGATCATCCTGGATCCGTCGGTTGGTCTTCGCCTTCTCAACGAATCTCTTCTCAGCGACCGCTCCGCCGCGAGCGCGACCACTCCGCCTCCTCGGCCCCCACGGGGCTGAAGCCCAGGACTTCCACCGCCACCTCCACGGAGGGAGAAGCGCCCAGGACTTCCACCGCCTCCTGTGGAGTGAAAAGAGGGTGTTGGGCCTCCCTAAAGGTGAATGGTCATGAGCTTGGGGAGGTGAATGGTGTCGGTGATGACACAGAAGAGATAGAGGGGGTGATTTTGCGGCCTTTCCAGTGGCCGAGAATGCTAATCTATAGCCAATCTGTTTTTGCTGTGTGTGTGTGTCTCAATGCAATGTTCACCTACAGCTCAGTTAACATCAATTAACTTGGTTTGAAAAGGAAACGTTCAACATATCAAGAGACAACCGCTTGTCCTGCGAGTCACCTCCCAGGCCCCGCGCGCGGAAAAGCGTCTCGTGCCCCTCGCCTGGGCTGCTTGCAGAAAGCAACGGCTTCCAGCAAAGGCAGCCTGTCCCAGATGGCACGGGAGCACTTGAGGTGTTTTCGATGTCGAAGTGTTGCTAATCTGGTTGAAGTCAGGACCGAAGACCTTATCTGAGTCCAAGGCGCTGCGCGGTGACGCACTGTGCGCTAGTGAAAGTGAAAGTGAAAGTTGCTATATAATCTATCTAAATGTGTTTGTCTATGTGTTGCTTTCTTTCTGTGTCTGTGGTTTGGTACTGTTTTCGGGTTTTGTTGTTTAATATCTTTGTTGTAATTTGTTTGCATGCTTTACCTTTTGGTGATTTCCCGTCTTTGATGGGTCTTGATCATCAATTCACATCGAGTCTACAGTCAACTGGTAGACTCTAGGTCTCAACCCACATGGGGCCTTCCGCACTTGGGGCCCCCTCCACATAGGGGCAACAGTGGACACCAGGGACTTCGGGCCGTCCGAAGGGACGGCCTTTTCTGGCGGGGTAGCTTCTTCCGTGTGGCACGAGATGCGCCTCGCGCGGCCTTTTTTTCTTTTGGCGTCGGGGGCATAAGGAACGGTGGGGGCCTGTGGAAGAGCCTTGTGATAGATGTGAAGAAACTCTGCACCAGCTGTGAGAGTGAATGATTTTATCCACATACTAGCATACACAACAGAAATCAACAGAATAGCAGGGCACAGCATCAAAAAGTAACAGAAGAAGAAAGTGATGCCTAGCGTCTAGCAACAGGTAGAGACAAATGCTAAAGATAGTGCCCCCCAACAAAATGTGGTTGGAACCTAATTACTAAAAAGGTCAAGACCTATGATACGTCTTGGGCGCCACAATGTTCCACATGTCAACTCCGTTTACTGACTGTTACTAACCAGCTGGTAAGCTGCTTGACAGGGGTCATCAGTCCCAATCAACGACCCTACACTACCTTGTTCATGTCCTTTTTCATGTACCATCATGTACCCATTTTTCACCCCCCATGGTGTCATGCAGGGGTCATCTTCACCACACAGCGGGGACCCACCATCAGGCTAAAGTGGTGGAAGAAGATGCGTCTTCGCTCGCCCACCTGCGGTGTGTCAGTTGTCGGGCAGCTGTGGCAGCGAGGATCCGTCAAGCAAACTGGCACAGTAACTGAGTGGGGCATAACACCCTAACAGCCTCATTGGCTGCGAATATTACTTGACACTGTGCGGATTTACGTCAATGGGATTTTTGACTTGGCGCTCTGTCAAAGAGGCGCCGGTTTCGCCTTCACATCATGTTTTTTGACAGGCTTTTGCACCTCCACCCATTTGTCATATGTTCTCCAATGACAAGCCCCCTCAAACCAAATCCCATCACCAAGGGGGGCCCACCCTGCAGGTTGACGCCTGCAAGGCGAAGCGGAGTGAGACGTTGGGCGCCGCTGAGGCAAACAAGGCCAAGGGCTCAGCAGCCACGTCCCTGAAGTGAAAGACACCGGTGCGGTGAAGGACAGGGAGAGGGCGGTGCAGTGCGAAGGTTTGGGGCTCTTTTTGGGCATGGGAGTTTATAGGAGTTAAGTACTGGAGTCTGTGGGCAATCATGCCTTCTAAATATATAGAATGCGCTTCTGCGGTGTGGAAAAAGAGCCGCATCCTTCATCGACCTGGAAGAGAAACATTCGACCTAGCGGATTCGGAACCTCTGGAGATGGCGGATATTTGGCTGTTTAATTCCCCGTGCCAGAACTACCCCAAGAAAGCACTCTCTTTCTCAAACTGTTTCATCCACTAGAGTCAACAGTCCATGGGCATCAAATTGTGTTTAGCTCTCTTCCTGGAGCTTTCAAAGTCTGGGGCATGTCACCCCATCCCCATGCTTGTTTGATGAGCTTCGGTTTATATGTGTTCAACTCTTCAACGAAAGCAACACCCGAAGAAGAAGCGCCCAACACAAACCGTTCCAAAGAACCCCCCTGATGTGTTACCACACTGTTCTAGGGAATAAAACATCATGGCACCCCCGCCACACCCCGCCCGTTTCGCCTGCGCGGTGGACACCGCGTGGTGCTCGCACTCACCAGGTCCCGAGATGCATCGGGGCCCAAGCCCAAGAGCCTGGGGCGGTCCCGACGGCCCGAGGGAAGAACAGGTCAGGAAGAAAGGTGGTTTTGTTCGGAAAGAAAGGTGGATCTTGTTGGAGATGCTTGGATGTTACTGGAGTTTGGGGATGGGTTGGGACCAACTCACCCCCCCCGCTCGCTCTCTCTATCTGTTCTTTAAATGTTTCAAGTCGCAGGATCCTGGTGCATGCTGCATCGAATCGAACACCTTCACGAACTGATGTGTAATCAATAAGGGCGATATAATTGTAAAATAATTGTTAAAATATAGGGGCGGGTTGTTGCGCGGTCATGCACGGTCGTGGTTTCTCTATAGTCCCTCCAGTGGAAGTGGAAAGCTGGCTGTTGGTAGAGGAAAGTCCAGTGTCCAGGAGACCATTTTCCATGTCCATGATATTTCAGGGCGTCTAGGGCCTGCGTGCACAAATGCTAACCAACACTGACCACGGCAAATACAAAAACTCCGGCCGCAGGGCGAACACACCGGAGACAAGTACATCATAATCGAGAAGAGAGTAAAGAATGAAGAGCTCTGTTCATAACCAGTATAGAGCAGAAAACAAACAATATATATAAAACAAGAGTAGGAAACGTGTGAAAGCGCAGGGAAAAGCAAAACCAGCATAAAAACGCAAGAAAGCAAGAGAAATCATGGAGAGGCAATGAAAAACCAGAACAGCAACAAGAAGCGAATCCAACAACAAAGTCCCTAAACACACGCGTACCAAAAAAAAAAGGCAAACGCATGTCATATTGTTTGGCCCACTCCCTGCCATGGCTTCCTCTCTCTGCTTCTTCCCCACTCATCACGGACAGCTCAGCTGCAGCTTCAAGGACGGACAGCTCTCCATGCCCATCGACTCGCTCACCTCGGCGACTGCCGAGGAGGACGACGGGACCGACGCGAGGTGCCATCCGTTTCGCGTGTCGACCGGAAAAACACATCAATTGGACCCTGATGGACCCTGTATAGGATTATAGGGATTAGGTTTGAACAACTCAGCCTGACAACTTCAAGACTTAGGACATGTGCCTCACTCCTCCATCTGTAGGTCTTGGAAACCCATCGGTTCCCATAAAAAAATGGAAAAAATAGCACCACACCAAGCTGCATAGGCCGCCGGCCCGAAAGCTTGTTTACCTCGCCAGTCGTCCATGCGCCAGACCTCAGGATGCAAGAAACCAAGAGGGTTCCTCGGGATCGCGAGACTCTTGATATACATAAAAAAGAACAGGCCTGAAGAGGATTGCCAATTCAAATGGGTGGGTTTATGTACTTTAATGAGGGTTCCTGTAGACTGTAGATGTTGTGTGATTCTGCGGCCTGCGCAATTGAACTGACCCTGGAACGTCGCAGTGGGGAGCTGAGAACAACACATCACAAAACCAAAGGACTTGGCAGTAGGACATTCACAGACTTGAACGCGACCACAGTTCTCAGAGACTTCATCGACACAACCAAGACTCCCCAGACTCCGTGGCACTCAGAGTTTCCATGCACCGCTGAGCTCCAAAGCCGCACGATCACAGGAAGGCCGCAGCAACTGGAAGCGTGAAGGAGCTTCCAACCTCAGTGGAAACTTGTGCATGCCGTGGCGGTGCTTGAAGAACAAACATGTCTAACTAGTGCCTATTGGAGTGATGCAACTTCTACTATCTGATGATATTTGATGCATTTTGATGCTGGGGCACCGGCAGCCGTACTTGCAGCCTCACCTGCCATCATGGTCCAGCAGCTTTCCGCTTGTCCTACTCATTCCACTGTTCTCTTCCACTCCCTGAGCCAGCCCAACATGTGTAGACTCAAGTAGGCTCTTTGATTCTATAGCATTTTTAAGCCTTACAGTAAATCTGGGAGAAGTGTCAATCCATGGGGGAAGAGCTTATGACTCAAAAGGTTTCTATGTTCGCCACATCCGTTTCGTTTCGGACCCCATCCCCTCGGCAGTCACTGAGGGGACCCACACGGGGGGCGGCTGCAGCTGCCGGAGCGCCTCCCAGTCTTCAGGAGCCAAGGTTTGGCCCTGAAAAGGAATTCTGGGAGACGTAATGTAGACTCTTGAAGTGCATAAACCCTCCATGTGAAGAGGTGCCGTCAACTCAAATGGGTGGTTTATTCATCAAGAGTCTACATTATCCCGCATCACGGATCAAAAAACACGATTTCAAGTTACCATCAAAATCGGTTCCAGATTTGACAATTCCTTCCATAATTAAATAGATATTGCATCTTGTGATTGATATGTTGCGGTTACCTTTAAACCCATCCAAAAACATCCAAAAACCTTGGCCATTGGTTGGAACATGTTGGAACACCAATGCCCTAAACCCTAAACCCTACCCAGCCCCTCTTCCCCTCAGATGCCAACAAACACAGTTGTCCACAGAAACCTCTGGTTGTCGTGGGGTCTGAGATGGTCTAAGCTAAACCCACCTTCCTTCGATCCTCAAGGTCCCGCCTCCAGTTGGAGGGAGGTCGCCGAAGTCGGAGCAGCCCCATTGGGGGCCTCAGTACGGCGAGGTCGCAAGAAATGGCCCGAAACGCCTCTGAAAACCACAACGCAGCACACAGAAGGGCAGATTCGTCACAGACTCAGCTCCCCATGGTTCAAGCAATTTCTAAGCAAAGCCGAAGCCCTGATAGTCATCAGCAGCCTGAGCCCTCTCAGTGGCCGCGCCGCTAGAGAAATCATGTCGCAGCACCTGCCAGCAACGAGGCCGCCAACCAAACGTTCGCCCGGTTGGAAGAGCAACAGCGCAGCGCTTTTCGGCCAAGTGGCCGATGGTGGAAAAAGTAAACTCTTGTGCCATGCCGTGGGACACCGTGTAACGCACAATATTGTCACAGTCCCAAATCCAAGTCAAGTCACTCCATTGCCCCTTCAAAGCCCTCAAAGCGTTGCCCCCTCAAAGCTCCCAGCAAAGGGGTCCTCAAAACCTCCACATGGCCCCAAGCCCCCGAGCCCATGTCATATCGGAGCACCGTGTGTTGGGCCACCGTGCCCTGTGGAGTGAATCCGCGACAAGCTCAAAGGTCAAGGCCTCACTCTCAGGCTCTAAGACTTCTAAGATTCAACCTCCTTCAAGAGACGGTATTTCAGTCATTGTCTAGAGTCTAGTTGGTGAACACTCATCAACAGGCATCTGGGAAGCCACCACAGCTGCGCAGCGAACACAGCGAGCATAATGAAACCCTTCCTCCCCCAACATGCGGAAAACTGTATCTTGGCCACCCATTTCCTACACCGCCAATGATGTCTGAATCTTGGCAAGCCCCGACCGGAAACATATCCAAAAAATATCAAAAAAGAAGAAATCATCTGCTTTCCAATAGCAGTCAGAGTCAGGCAGTATATGCGTAGTTCTGGCATGTGGTTGGACATTCCGAACTCATATCCTCCCTATGTGACAATGGGCTCGGATTTACAGTAGTTTAGGAGTGTTTTCTTGTTTTTGCTTGGGATTTTTTGTGTTTTTCGTGTTTCGTGGCGGGCGCAGTACTTTGTGGACCTTGAAGTGCAGACTTCGTGGCAGGCGCAGGACTTTGTGGATGTTGAAGTGCAGTTTTCGTGGCAGGTGCAGGACTTTGTGGATGTTGAAGTGCAGTTTTCGTGGCAGGTGCAGGACTTTGTGGATGTTAAAGTGCAGATTTCGTGGCAGGTGCAGGACTTTGTGGATGTTGAAGTGCAGTTTTCGTGGCAGGTGCACGACTTTGTGGATGTTGAAGTGCAGATTTCGTGGCAGGTGCAGGACTTTGTGGGCCTTGGAGAGCAGATTTCGTGGCAGGCACAGTACTTTGTGGACCTTGAAGTGCGGATTTCGTGGCAGGTGCAGGACTTTGTGGATGTTGAAGTGCAGTTTTCGTGGCAGGTGCAGAACTTTGTGGATGTTGAAGTGCAGATTTCGTGGCAGGTGCAGGACTTTGTGGGCCTTGGAGAGCATATTTCGTAGCAGGCACAGTACGTTGTGGACCTTGAAGTGCAGATTTCGTGGCAGGTGCTAGATAGATAGACAGATAGAAAGATAGACAGAGAAATGGATCGATAGATACATAGATTGATAGATAGATAGATAGATCGATAGGCAGACAGACAGACAGACAGACAGACAGCCAGCCAGCCAGCCAGCCAGACAGACAGACAGACAGATAGATATAGACAGATAGATGGATAGGTAGACAGATTTGGGAGCTGTCGTAGCTGGCAAAAAACATTGGAATAGTGTAGGTGTCAGAGAAATTCCTATCACAACAGTTTGGTGCAGTTAGCAGAGAAACAGCAAACAGAAAGAGAACTAGCGCAGGAGGCATATTTGCTTGGTTAGAAATTTTTGCACCGGGGAGTTCACCTTAACATACTGATTTCGTGGCAGGTGCGGGTGTCGGAGATGTGCCTCGGACTTCACATTCCTCCAAAGATGGACTAGTAGCAAACAGCCAGAAGCCACGAGAGCAACGAAAGCCAAACGCCACAAAAGCCACAGAAGCCACAGAAGCCACGAAAGCCAAGAAAGCCAAAAGCCACAAAAGCCACAGAAGCCACGAAAGCCACCAAAGCCAAAACAGAAGCCAGAAGCCACGAGAAACAAACAAAATCCTTTTGAAAAAAAAAATTAAATAGCCCTCCTGGGACAATTGCACACACCCCACGTTCCCACGCGGCCTCGTTGCACTCGGCCACCAGGTAGAAGGAACAGCCAGACCTGTCAGTGCTTAAAGGGTGTGTGGCATACCCCCATCAACAAACTAAACGCTCACCAAACCCAAACATGGGTCGGCACAAAGGAGCTTTGGAAATGACTGGTGGCCGGTGGTGCTTTTTGCAACTTACTGCATCTAATGAAATCATGGAACCCATAGGTTTACATTTCTTGGAACGAAGTTTGGGCTTCAGCCAATCAAGCCGCAGCCTTGCTAGAATACATACAATATCGCTTCAACTTCAAGAGCTTCAGCTTCAGTTCGGCTTCTCATGCAGAGGGGCCTTGACCCTAGAAACTTGGTGAAAGAGTTAGACAGTTGGACAATGGCAATATGAACAAAAACGGAGTACAAGTGAAGCGAGCCAAGTCGCAGCCGCTGAGGCCGCCGCTCGCTGGAGCACAGGGCGTTACCCTCCGGAAACCATCGCAGCTGCATGCAAAAGTTCCTGGGGTGGATGGGGTGCATGGGCAGTGCCCCGTGCCCGTTTCGTTGAAGTGGTGAAGCGTAAAAAAGTAACAAAACGACCTCCCGATCTGCCGACTCCCCAATCAAAGGTTTATACAATCAGGTTATCAGGTTTTATGAACTCAGGGGTCTAGATATCAGATATGGGCTAGGGGATGATTTCGGACAGCCACTTTTGAAACATTTCCACTTGTTAGCATTAACACATACATATAATAGTTTTCTTGGTCTACTATTGCTGTTGCTTCTTGTCTTCTTGTTGTCATTGCTTACTTTAACATCTGGCTTCTGCAACAAACTATTTACTTACTCCAACATCTGGCTTCTGTAAATTACAACAAACAAGCTGGTTTGCAAACAAAGCCTCTAGTTTGCAAACTCCTTGGTTCAATATATATATATATATGTCGAGAGGGGGAGAGGGGGGGGGGGG